AGAGAGAGAGAGAGAGAGAGAGAGAGAGAGAGAGAGAGAAGAGAACAAGACAGTACTCTAGGTAGTTTATTACCTATAAATTCTGTATCACAACATTCAGTTAAAATTTGATTCCTGAGTATAGCTTAAGCCACACAAGCATAAAATGAGAATTTGAATTTAATTCCTCTTGAAATAATATTGAATAACATTATTTATTTTCAAATGAGTCTTTACATCCACACACAAAAAAACTTACTACTAAGATAACCATTATTCAATGTATAGCATGTAGAGAAGCACAGTAAATTCTACCTTAACTATTAAGTAACTGTATGCCCCCCCCCACTATAATTTTACTTTTGTTTGTACCATTTTCACCACTCAGGTGGATTGGCCAACTAATTTTATATTTACATAACAATAGTTTTAAAATATATCAAGTCTCTGAAGAAAAACTGCTTTATACATAATTAAAAGAATGTTGTAACATCTTCCAGGAAAAGTTTTAAACACACCGATTTGATTCCCAAATTATACTATTAAATTAAAGTATGGAAGTTGATGAAGTCCTCCGGTAAAAGTTATGTCTTAGTTATGTCTTAGAAATGTCCAGGATTACTCCTAAAGCTCCATTTTTGATCTTCAATACTGAATTACCCTCACTCTTAATTCTATTTCATAGGTATGAAGAAGTATCCTTCTACCTATTCATTCATCTATCATCTATCTAGTCTATATGAAGCCAAATGATCATTATGAATATAGAGAACAACTTTAGGTTTTATATTATGGAGAAATAATAGTTACTGTCATTATTAAGTCCAGTCAACCAATCAGACCTGGAAGAGCCATACATGCTTCCATGAATTCCTTAATTCTTATGCTGCATTCAAATAACATCCTATGGCTCAGCTAGGCCCATGATATGAGGAAAGTTAAATAAGTTACTGCCTCAAAGGAGACACAGTTTGCTAATTACCCAAGAGATGTACATTATTTATATCTTGCTATCCAGTGAAGTATTCATCCAATTTTTAATTGACTTAGTTGCTACATTCTTAACAGCAGAATAATTTCAGATCACTCTATTTGGAAATTTATACTGAATTATTCAACTACAGTCCAACCATGAGGAACCCAATTTTGTAAAACCTGAAAGTGCCATTTACCTTCATGATCATTTGGAGAAGAAAGATTTTTCCTTAATGTCATTTAAACCAGTCATAACAGAAAGTCACACACTTTATCCGGCCTTCATTTGTAAGCTTCTAGACTGTGTGATTAATTTTGTTACACATTCATAATAATATGGCATATTATTATTTTCATAAGACAGAATAATAGTGACTACAAAAAAAATTAGCTTTTCCTTTTTCAGGAAGAAGCAGCAGAATATTCCAGGGAAAATCAACTATTTAGTTTACTTGACTCTCGACTACAAAATATTTTAAAACATTAGTACTTTAAAATTGATGGCTAACCCCAAAATTCATTATTGCCATTATACTGAGAACTACTTCACTATTTCATGAATCCACTACAGTCATTATTCAACTATTTGTTCAAATAAAATTTATTTAATATCATACTTCCTGCCTAAAAATTAGTTCTATTGAAAAACACTTCCAATTGTTGTTCCTACATGGAACAACTAATTCCACTGATCTGAGTAAATCTACTGAGAAAGCTGAGTTTTAAATCATAGTTTACCTGATCTGGCAACTATGATTGCTTTTCCATAGTTAAGGAGAAACCAGAAAATTGAGCATAGCTCCACAGGTCTTTGGAATGGAAAACTCAGATCAGGCCTAAAATAAATTGGGCAAGGGAAAAATAAATAAAAGCAGAAAATTACTGTGACAGAGATATTGGCTTGGCCTACTGATATATACTGAACTCACATGAGTCTCTGGTAAGCAGGTCCTAAGGAATAGGGGAGAAGCTAAGTTTGGTTGTCAGGCAGTAGCCTTGACGCTTATTCATTGACCCAATCAGTACTTAGGTTTCTAACAACACAACAAAGTACAATCTATTCCAAATGTTAAAGCAGAAAAATTGGGTGAGTCTTACTAAAAAAACAATGACAAAAAGTACCTCAGGAGGAACCTTGGACCAGGAAAAACAGACCACTTACATTTCAAAATTTTTTTAAAAAAATATTCTTTTAGTTGTCAATGGACCTTTATTTTATTTATTTTTATATGTGGTGCTGAGAATCAAACCCAGTATCTCACACATGCTAGGCAAGTGCTTTACCACTGAGCCACCACCCCAGACCACTGCTTACATTTTAGACAACATATAGAATGTCAGAGATTTAAGATGTCAGTGATTCTATACTGTATATGTGTGTTTTGCTTTTTTGGGGTGTGGGGTGGGGACCATCTTCAAATATCTATTGCATAATGGTTCATTTCTGGAAATATTAAATATTATATAATAACCTTAGAATCTGTATTGTGTATCAGACTATAAAGAAGTAGAAGGAAATTGTTAGTGTTTATTCATGCTGTTGCCTGGTTATAGATGATGTGATTGACTCTGAATCAAAATGATAAGACCTTCAAATAGAGACCATTAAGGAATCAGCCTTGCAGATATGACTCTTTGAATGACAGTGAGGCATACTTCCAGGGGCCTGGGTATATGAATTGAAAAAAGAACTAAGTATAGATTTTCCCTTGTAAACATAACTGGATTTTAAACTGTAGAATTAAATTCTAAGTGATTCCAATTAAAAATCCAACCAGAAATCCCATGTTCTAACTCTCGCTATCTGCTCAGTTGCCATGTCTAATCAGTGCCCCTGCACTCTTGTCTATTTCTTGTTTTAAACCACATACCCCTGTCTTTTCTTTCAAAACCCAT